CATCTGGTCCTGGGCTTTTGTTTCTTGGAAGATTTTTAATCACAGTCTCAATTTCAGTGCTTGTGATCAGTCTGTTCGTATTTTCTGTTTCTTCCTGGTTCAGTATTGGCAGGTTGTGCATTTCTAAGAATTGTTCATTTCTTCCAGTTTGTCCATTTTATTGGCACAGAGTTGCTTGTAGTAATCTCTTATGATCTTTTGAATTTCTGCAGTGTCAGTTGTTACTTCTCCTTTTTCATTTCCAATCCTATTCACTTGACTCTTCCCCCATTTTTTCTGGCTGAGTCTGGCTAATGGTTTATTAATTTTATTTATCTTCTCAAGGAACCAGCTTTTAGTTTTATTGATCTTTGCTATCATTTCCTTCATTTCTTTTTTCATTTATTTCTGAACTTATCTTTATGATTTCTTCTGCTAACTTTGGTTTTTTTTTTTTTCTTCTTTCTCTAATTGCTTTTGGTGCAAGGTTAAGTTGTTTATTTTAGATGTTTCCTGTTTCTTAAGGTAGGATTGTATTGCTATAATCTTCCCTCTTACAACTGCTTTTGCTGCATCCTATAGGTTTTGGGTTGTTGTGTCTCCACTGTCATTTGTTTTTACATATTTTTTGATTTCCTCTTTGATTTCTTCAGTGATCACTTCGTTATTAAGTAATGTATTGTTTAGCCTCCATGTGTTTGTATTTTTTACAGATCTTTTCCTATAATTGATATCTAGTCTCATAGCATTGTGGTCAGAAAAGATACTTGATATGATTTCAATTTTCTTAAGTTTACCAAGGCTTGATTTGTGACCCAAGATATGATCTATCCTGGAGAATATTCCATGAGCCCTTGAGAAAAAAGTGTATTCTGTTGTTTTTGGACGGAATGTCTTATAATATCAATTAAGTCCATCTTGTTTAATGTATCACTTAAAGCTTGTGTTTCCTTGTTTATTTTCATTGTGGATGATCTGTCTGTTGGTGATAGTGGGGTGGTAAAGTCCCCTAATATGATTTTGTTAGTGTTGATTTCCTTTTTTATGGCTGTTAGCATTTGCCTTATGTATTGAGGTGCTCCTATATTGGGTGCATAAATATTTACAATTGTTATGTATTCTTCTTGGATCAATCCCTTGATCATTATGTAGTGTCCTTCTTTGTCTCTTCTAATAGTCTTTATTTTACAGTCTATTTTGTCTGATATGAGAATTGCTACTCCATCTTTTTTTTTTTTCCTGTACGCACACCTCTCACTGTTGTGGCCTCTCCCATTGCAAAGCAAAGGCTCCGGATGCACAGGCTCAGCGGCCATGGCTCATGGGCCCAGCCACTCCACAGCATGTGGGTTCTTCCCAGCCCGGGGCACGAACCCATGTCCCCTGCATTGGCAGGCAGACTCTCAACCACTGCACTACCACAGAAGCCCTCCAGCTTTCTTCTTATTTCCATTTGCATGGAATATCTTTTTCCATCCCCTCACTTTCAGTGTGTCTGTGTTCCTAGGTCTGAAGTGGGTCTCTTGTAGACACCATATATATGGGTCTTGTTTTTTTATCCATTCAGCCAGTCTCTGTCTTTTGGTGGGCACATTTAATCCATTTACATTTAAAGTAACTATTGATATGTATATTCCTATCCGCATTTTCTTAATTGTTTTGGGCTTATTATTGTAGGTCTTTTCCTTCTCTTGTGTTTCCTGTCTAGAGATGTTCCTTTAGCATTTGTTGTAAAGGTGGTTTGGTGGTGCTGAACTCTCTCAGCTTTTGCTTGTCTGTAAAGGTTTTTATTTCTCCCTCAAATCTGAATGAGATCCTTGCTGGGTAGAGAAATCTTGGTTTTAGATTTTTGTCCTTCATCACTTTAAATATGTCCTGCCAGTCCCTTCTGGCTTGCAGAGTTTCTGCTGAAAGATCAGCTGTTAACCTTATGGAGATTCCCTTGTGTGTTATTTGTTGTTTTTACCTTGCTACTTTTTTCCTGTATGCGGGCCTCTCAGTGTTGTGGACTCTCCCATGCGTAACACAGGCTCCGGACGCCCAGTCTCAGCAGCCAGGGCTCACGGGCCCAGCTGGTCCGCAGAATGTGGGATCCTCCCAGACCGGGGCACGAATCCGTGTCCCCTGCATTGGCAGGCGGACTCTCAACCACTGCGCCACCAGGGAAGCCCTACCTTGCTGCTTTTAATATGTTTTCTTTGTATTTAATTTTTGACAGTTTGCTTAATATGTGTCTTGGCATGTTTCTCCTTGGATTTATCCTGTATGGGACTCTCTGTGCTTCCTGGACTTGATTAACTATTTTCTTTCCCATATTAGGGAAGTTTTCAACTGTAATCTCTTCAAATATTTTCTCAGTCCCTTTCTTTTTCTCTTCTTCATCTGGGACCCCTACAATTCGAATGTTGGTGCATTTAATGTTGTCCTAGAGATCTCTGAGACAGTCCTCAGGTCTTTTCACTCTTTTTTTTAATTCTGCTCTGCAGTAGTTATTCCATTATTTTATCTTCGAGGTCTCTTATCCATTCTTTTGCCTCAGTTATTCTGCTTTTGATCCCTTCTAGCCTGTTTTCAATTTCACTTATTGTGTTGTTCATCATTGCTTGTTTCCTCTTTAGTTCTTCTAGGTCCTTGTTAAATGTTTCTTTTATTTTCTCCATTCTGTTTCCAAGATTTTGGATCATCTTTACTAGCATTATTCTGAATTCTTTTTCAGGTAGACTGCCTCTTTCCTCTTCATTTTTTAGGTCTGGTGGGTTTTTATTTTGCTCCTTCATTGGCTGTGTGTTTTTCTGTCTTCTCCTTTTGCTTATCATACTGTGTTTGGGGTCTCCTTTTTGCAGGCTGCAGGTTCATAGTTCCTGTTGTTTTTGGTGTCTGTCCCCAGTGGCTAAAGTTGGTTCAGTGGGTTGTGTGGGCTTCCTGGTGGAGAGGCCTAGTGCCTGTGTTCTGGTGGATGAGGCTGGATCTTGTCTTTCTGGTGGGCCAATCCACATCTAGTCATGTGTTTTGGGGTGTCTGTGGCTTTATTATGATTTTTGGCAGCCTTTCTGCTTATTGGTGGCATTGTGTTCCTGTCTTGCTGGTAGTTTGGCATAGGGTGTGCAGCACTGTAGCTTGCTGGTTGTTGAGTGAAGCTGGGCATTGGTGTTGAGATGGACATTTCTGGGAGACTCTCGCTGTTTGATATCATGTGGAGTTGGGAGATCTCTTGTGGACCAGTGTCCTGAAGTTGGCTCCTCCTCCTCAGAGGCACAGCACTGACTCCTGGGTACAGCACCAAGAGCCTTTCATCCACGCGGCTCAGAATAAAAGGGAGAAATTAGAAAGTATGAAAAAAAGAGAATAAAATAAAATAAGGTAATATAAAATAAAATAAAGTTATTAAAATAAAAAATAATTATTAAGAAAAAAAATTTTTTTAAGTAAAAACAACAATAAAAAAAGGACAGACAGAACCCTAGGACAAATGGTGAAAGCAAAGCTATACAGACAAAATCTCACACAGAAGTATACACATACACACTCACAAAAAGAGGAAAAGGGGAAAAAGTAATATATTTTGCTCCCAAAGTCCACCTCATCAGTTTGGGATGATTCATTGTCTATACAGGTGTTCCACAGATGCAGGGCACATCAAGTTGATTGTGGAGATTTAATCCGTTGCTCCTGAGGCTGCTGGGAGAAATTTCCCTTTCTCTTCTTTGTTCACACATCTCCCAGGGTTCAGCTTTCGATTTTTCCCTGCCTCTGCGTGTAGGTCACCGGAGGGCGTCTGTTCTTCACTCAGACAGGACGGGGTTAAAGGAGCAGCGATTCAGGGGTCTGGCTCACTCGGGCCAGGGGGAGGGAGGGGCACGGAGTGCGGGGCAAGCCTGCGGCGGCAGAGGCCATCATGACCTTGCACCAGCCTGAGGCACGCATGTGTTCTCCCGGGGAAGTTTTCTCTGGATCACGGGCCCCTGGCAGTGGCGGGCTGCACAGGTTCCCGGTAGGGGAGGTGTGGAAAGTGACCTGTGCTTGCACACAGGCTTTTTGGTGGCAGCAGCAGCGGCCTTAGCATTTCATGCCCGTCTCTGGGGTCTGCGCTGTTACCCATGGCTCGCGCCCATTTCTGGAGCTCCTTTAAGCAGCGCTCTTAATCCCCTGTCTTCCCGCACTAGGAAACAAAGAGGGAAGAAAAGTCTCTTGCCTCTTCGGCAGGTCCAGACTTTTTCCTGGACTCCCTCCCGGCTAGCTGTGGTGCACTAACCCTTTCAGGCTGTGTTGCCGCCACCAGTCCTCTCCCTGCCATCTGACCGAAGCCCGAGCCTCAGCTCCCAGCCCCCGCCCACCCCAGTGGTGAGCAGACAAGCCTCTCGGGCTGGTGAGTGCTGGTCGGCTCCGATCCTCTGTGCGGAAATCTCTCCGCTTTTCTCTCTGCACCCTTGTTGCTGTGCTCTCCTCCGTGGCTCCGAAGCTTCCCCCCTCCACCACCCGCAGTCTCCACCCGGGAAGGGGCTTCCTAGTGTGTGGAAACCTTTCCTCCTTCACAGCTCCCTTCCACTTGTGCATGCCCTTTTTTTTTTTTTTTTTGTGATACGTGGGCCTCTCACTGTTGTGGCCTCTCCAGTTGCGGAGCACAGGCTCCGGACTCACAGGCTCAGCAGCCATGGCTCACGGGACTAGCCGCTCCGCAGCATGTGGGATCTTCCCAGACCAGGGCATGAACCCGTGTCCCCTGCATTGGCAGGCAGACTCTCAACCACTGTGCCACCAGGGAAGCCCCTGTCCCTACTCTTTTGTCTCTGTTTATTCTTTTTTCTTTTGCCCTACCCATGTACGTGGGGAGTTTCTTGCCTTTTGGGAGGTCTGAGGTCTTCTGCCAGTGTTCATTGGGTGTTCTGTAGGAGTTGTTTCACATGTAGATGTATTTCTGATGTATCTGTGGGGAGGAAGGTTATCTCCACGTCTTACTCTTCCGCCATCTTCTCCCTCTCCTTCACCCAGGTTTTGAGCTGTTTTATTAATTTTGTTTGTAGGATGCTGTTCTGATGCAATTTTGTGCGAACAAATTGGACAAAAAGGACTTCTTTGGAAAATCAGATCCTTTTCTTGTATTTTATCGAAGTAATGAAGATGGCAGGTAGATTTATCTTTTATGAATTTTAAGGCTATTATAACTATGACTTTATCAGTTTTTCTCAGATATTTATATTAAATTGATAAACAGTTAAATATTTTGGTAATCAAAAAATTGATTTGATTTTTTATTCTCAATAATAATGTGTAACTTTATAGGCATTTAATGTTTTTTTGATATTTATAATGAATGATTTTCAGCTTCATAGAAACATTTCCTCTTTACTTTTCCTAAAATTATATTATTGCCTTAATAGAATGGATGATTTATATGTTTGTGGAAAGCTAAAATTATGAAACTAAAGTATTTTGTTATAGAATTGAACGCTTAAGCCAATTTCTTGGAGAAGAATATGGAGTTTAGGGGTTGCTTGTTATTCTACAGGGTTTTTTCAATGATATCTAACATTCAGGAAAATTTTTCATTACCCTCTAGTAATTTGAATATTTTACCAGTTATGATTAGACTGGTTTCTTTGTGATTTGAAAATGTATTATAGAGTTATAATTTATTTTATTTTTTTATTGAAGTATAGTTAATATACAATATTATATGAGTTACAGGTGTACAATATAGTGATTCACAAGTTTTAAAGATTGCACTTCATTTATAATTATTTTACAATATTGGCTACATTCCTTGTATTGTACTATATCCTTGTAGCTTATTTTATACAAAATAGTTTGTACCTCTTATTTCCCTACCCCAACATTGCTCCTCCTCTCTCCTCTTTCATCACCGGTAACCAATAGTTTGTTCTCTATATCCATGAGTCTGCTTCTTTTTTCTGATATTCACTAGTTAGTTGTAGTTTTTAGATTCCACATAAAAGTAATATCATACAGTATATGTCTTTCTCTGTCTGACTTATTTCTCGTAGCATAGTATCCTCTAAGTCCATCCATGTTATTGCAAATGGCAAAGTTTTCATTCTTTTTTATCGTCTGAGTAGTATTCCATTGTACAGAGTATAATACATATGACTCTACCATGAAATACATTTTATTGTTATCTTCTATGATTCTTATTGTATTGTCAGTAGTAATGAAAAAGTTTAGTGGTTAAATTTATGAGCTAAATGAGGTCCTGCTGCCTAGGTGTAAACCGTGACCCTGCTACTTAATAGCTGTGGGACCATAGGCAAGTTTTAAAACTCATATGACACTCAGTTTCCTCATCTGTAAAATGGGCTATGATCATAGTTATCTCCCAGGGCTGTTGAGAGTATCAAATGAGTTACTACACAAAAATCATCTAGAAGCTTCCCTAACATAAGAATTATGTTAGCTGTTATTATTATTATTATCTTATGGTATAATGTTTCCTCTTCTGTTTTCCTTAACTGTGCATAATAAAATATTAGCTAAAGAGAAAATGTCATTTGGAGATTAAAATTAGGGGAATAGAATATAAAAAAAAATGTAACCTGCTTCACTTATGTATGAAATTATACAACATGTTAATGTTATGTAATAAGTATAAAATGGTACATAAAAATAGAAAGTTTGCTATTTAAAGTGATTATACTGAGCAATATAAAATGAAGCTTAACATAGTGTATGAATTTTGCTGATGCAGCTACTGGGCAACTGTTGGTTATTTTTGTTGTGGTATCATATGGTTGGATTTTGCATGCTTCTTTTCTATTTTGGTGGTAAAAATGTTAGAGTAGCATTTGTATCTGAACACTAATTTACCCATGTGAAAAATATTGGACAGTGGATAAAATAATCATATTTTCCAGTCATTTAACAGTTAGGAAAAAAGCTAAAGAATTGTTCAAATTTTCTTGAATTAAAAAGTTCTTATGTTTCCTCCTGTTTGAATGACTTATTTCCTGAATTTTCTATTTTATCCTTACTAGTTTTCTTAGAAATATTTGTTGTACAATTATAGAATTTCAGTCTATCATACATTTAATGCTCCTTGTAAGAGATATATTACAAAATTTATTATGCTTATAAAAATGGTATTAACTTGTTGATTAAATAAAATATAAATATTGAGTGCAACTTATCCAAAAATCTCAAATCATTTAAAAATAACTATTGCTAAAATTTTGTGAATCTCATTTCAGAAAACTTTCCACTTGCATATACACACAGAAAATAGTTTGCCAGCTAGATCCAAATATATATATTATATGTATTAATATACATATGTTTTGTTCTGATGAGTTTTTAATGAATAAAAATGCTTTTACTCCTCAATTTTTTTGTGTGTCTTTGTAACTGCAAAGACTTTATCTTCATTTTTAAGATGTATTTGAACACGGAGCTACTTCAGAAATTGCTTGTTGCCTAGTGGTTGAGGCTCATATTACAAGAAAGAGTAAAACTTAATTTCTACTGTAAGCATTAATGAAAATCCATTATAATATATGATTACAAATTCTTATTTTCTTGCTTTCACATTATTTAGTAATTTGACCTGTACTCATAATTAGGTAATAATTTTCCTTTGGAATAACTGTTTTATGGTAATTGGCTTCATTTAAAGTATTTTAACAGGTTATTTAATAAAAATATTTTTCTTATAATACTATGTGTAATACATATATACATACACATTTATATTTATATAGCAATACTCCTGAATAGTAGAAAGAGCTACCTCAGACTCCTGTTAGAATTTTCACTAATTACACTAGTGCTGGAATACTAGAGAGATTTTGGTGTCTATATCACATCTAATGCTTTACAAATGAGAATGATTAATAGAAGACAGATGACTACCTCACTTACAAGTAGCTCACTAAGAAGGTGAGTCACTTTATTAAGAGAAGAAGTTTCAATGTATTTAATTTCTATTGCTGATAATACTAGGAATATGACAGAAATTTTGATTTAACTGTAAGCAAAAAGGCCTAGAAGTCAGTAGATTATTGAGCATGTTAGTTTGAAGATGGTTCATTGGTCGCTTTATTTCTATCTATCTCTCTATCGATTTAATCTACTATCTATCTATCTATCATCCATCTATCATCTATCTATCTTCTACCTACCTATCTAGATACCTATATAGCAAGGTATCTATATCTATCACCATACCAAAGATTGGTATATATTAGAATATGATATAAGAGAAGAAGAGAAAGTCCCTTTGTAAATCTTTAAGAATATGTAGTGTTATGAAGATTGGCAGATGCCTGTTTATGATAACAATATACATACTTTTGTCCCTATGAATTTTTCTTAACCATTTTTGTGTACTTTTGCTTATTCTCATTTGATTCCCTCTGTTTTTCTCCTGCCTATTTCTCCCTTATCTCCCTTAATTTTCTTCCTTTTGCTTTAGATATTTTGATTAACCTTTTATTTTTTTATTTTATTTTTTATAACATCTTTATTGGAGTATAATTGCTATACAATGGTGTGTTAGTTTCTGCTTTATAACAAAGCGAATCAGTTATACATATACATATGTTCCCATATATCTTCCCTCTTGTATCTCCCTCCCTCCCACCCTCCCTATCCCCCTCTAGGTGGTCACAAACCACCAAGCTGATCTCCCAGTGCTATGCGGCTGCTTCCCACTAGCTATCTATTTTAAGTTTGGTAGTGTATATATGTCCGTGCCACTCTCTAACTTTGTCAGAGCTTACCCTTCCCCCTCCCCATATCCTCAAGTCCATTCTCTAGTAGCTCTGTGTCTTTATTCCCATCTTACCCCTAGGTTCTTCATGACCTTTTTTTTTCTTAGATTCCATATATATGTGTTAGCATACGGTATTTGTTTTTCTCTTTCTGACATACTTCACTCTGTATGACAGACTCTAGGTCCATCCACCTCACTACAAATAACTCAATTTCATTTCTTTTCATGGCTGAGTAATATTCCATTGTGTATATGTGCCACATCTTCTTTATCCATTCATCTGTTGATGGACACTTAGGTTGCTTCCATGTCCTGGTTATTGTAAATAGAGCTGCAATGGACATTTTGGTACATGACTCTTTTTGAATTATGGTTTTCTCAGGGTATATGCCCAGTAGTGGGATTGCTGGGTCTTATGGTAGTTCTATTTGTAGTTTTTTAAGAAACCTCCATACTGTTCTCCATAGTGGCTGTATCAATTTACATTCCCACCAACAGTGCAGGAGTGTTCACTTTTCTCCACACCCTCTCCAGCATTTATTGTTTCTAGATTTTTTGATGATGGCCATTCTGACTGGTGTGAGATGATATCTCATTGTAGTTTTGATTTGCATTTCTCTCATGATTAATGATGTTGAGCATTCTTTCATGTGTTTGTTGGCAATCTGTATATCTTCTTTGGAGAAATGTCTATTTAGGTCTTCTGCCCATTTTTGGATTGGGTTGTTTGTGTTTTTGTTATTGAGCTGCTTGTAAATTTTGGAGATTAATCCTTTGTCAGTTGCTTCATTTACAAATATTTTCTCCCATTCTGAGGCTTGTCTTTTGGTCTTGTTTATTGTCCTTTGCTGTGCAAAAACTTTGAAGTTTCTTTAGGTCCCATTTGGTTTTATTTCCATTTCTGTAGGAGGTGGGTCAGAAAGGATCTTGCCGTGATTTATGTCATAGAGTGTTCTGCCTATGTTTTCCACTAAGAGTTTGATAGTGTCTGCCCTTACATTTAGGTCTTTAATCCATTTTGAGTTGTTTTTTTTTAGTTTATTTTTGTGTATGGTGTTAGGGAGTGTTCTAATTTCATACTTTTACATCTACCTGTCCAGTTTTCCCAGCACCACTTATTGAAGAGGCTGTCTTTTCTCCACTGTATATTCTTGCCTCCTTTATCAAAGATAAGGTGACCATATGTGCGTGGGTTTATCTCTGGGCTTTCAATCCTGTTCCATTGATCTATCTTTCTGTTTTTGTGCCAGTACCATACTGTCTTGATTACTGTAGCTTTGTAGTATAGTCTGAAGTCAGGGAGCCTGATTCCTCCAGCTCCGTTTTTCATTCTCAAGATTGCTTTGGCTATTCGGGGTCTTTTGTGTTTCCATACAAATTGTGAAATTTTTTGTTCTAGTTCTGTGAAAAATGCCAGTGGTAGTTTGATAGGGATTGCATTGAATCTGTTGATTGCTTTGGGTAGTAGAGTCATTTTCACAATGTGGATTCTTCCAATCCAAGGACATGCTATATCTCTCCATCTATTTGTATCATCTTTAATTCCTTTCATCAGTATTTTATAATTTTCTGCATTCAGGTCTTTTGTCTCCTTAGGTAGGTTTATTCCTAGATATTTTATTCTTCTTGTTGCAATGGTAAATGAGAGTGTTTTCTTAATTTCATTTTCAGATTTTTCATCATTAGTGTTTAGGAATGCCAGAGATTTCTGTGCATTAATTTTGTATCTCGCTACTTTACCAAATTCATTGATTAGCTCTCATAATTTTCTTGTAGCATCTTGAGGATTCTCTATGTATAGTATCATGTCATCTGCAAGCAGTTACAGCTTTACTTCTTCTTTTCTGATTTGGATTCCTTTTATTTCTTTTTCTTCTCTGATTGCTGTGGCTAAAACTTCCAAAACTATGTTGGATAATAGTGGTGAGAGTGGGCTACTTTGTCTTGTTCCTGATCTTAGTGAAAATGGTTTCAGTTTTTCACCATTGAGGATGTTGGCTGTTGATTAACGTTTTAGAGTCTTTTCTATCCTCTTTCTTTCTTTTAATGTCTTTTGCCCCCAGTGATTCCTACATTGCTCTGGGTGACTCAACTTTGAGAGCATTTGACCACATTATATACACACATATTCTCTTGAGCTCTGTCAATTTAGTAACATGATTTTCTTTAGATAGGTGAGGATACTACCAGGAAGAGTATGGCACTAATGCCATAAATATTAAATTGAATACATTATCCATTTATATTATGTTTCTATTTTATCTCTTAATGCAGAGAGACGCTTTCTTGCCTGTGAAGCAGAAAATTGACTCAAGGCCATTTCAAAATGAGATTATTTTCTTATGAGGTTTAGTTACAGTATGTTCACTATGGTAGTTATGTAATAACTCTTATGTTAATGACTATTAGAGGGATCCCTTGAATTTAGAACAATTGATGACTAAGATTTTAGTGAAGATTGTGTTTAGGTATTGTTCTAACCAAGATTATTTAAAACATTTTATAGCTCAGTAACTGCTGCATAAATTTGCATTTAGGCAAAAACATTTCCAGAACCTGATTGATGTCTGGAGATTGAATGATTTGGTGGAAACAATACTGGAATTTGAATCAGAAAGCCTAGTTTAAGGCTCCATGTATTCTACCCCTTATTTTATATTGTTGAATTGCTATCTTTCTTCCGTCTAGGGATTCTTTAGCTATATAGAGTCAACAGTTTAAAGAAAGAAAGAACCACATACTGAGTGGTCTTACTATAAATTTATTATGCTAATCTTAAATAGGCCCTTAGCCCTCCCCAGAAATCTTACTCCCTTTCCTTAATCCATCAGTGTTCCCTCCCTCTCAGACACTTTAGCAGTTTTGCCCTCTTTCTTCTCTGCTGGTTATCTTGCTTTCTATTTAATAAGAAAATGGAAGCAATTGGAGAACTTCCTCAAGATCCCATCACAGCATCTACCCCTGTGCTCGACCTTCCTGAATGCTCTGCAAAGTGACTATCTGTGCTCCCAAGGCCAACCCTTCCATTGATTTCCTCTATCCCATCCACTTGCATCTTATTCAGGACATTGCTCTATCTTTTATCCCCTTTCTTTCATGCATCACAGATTGTTTTCTCTCTAATGTACTTTTTCCTTTAGCATACAACCTTGCTGTTATTTCTTTCATCTTGAAAAAAATTAAAAAGTAACAAAAAACAAACCTTTCACTTGACTAATCTTTCCCCTTTAAGCTATCCCCAATTTCTCTTTTTCTCTTTACAGCTAAACTGCTCAAAAATGTCGTTTATACACTCTACCTCATTTTCTCTTCTCTTTCTTAAACCCATTCCAACCAGATTTTTGTCTCCAGCACTCCAGCAAAACTGCCCTTCTCAGGGTTACTGATGACCTTCATATTCTTAGTGACCCATGGATACTTTTCACTGTATCAATTTGTCACCACAATTTTTATAGAGAGTATTTACAATGCAGCTTTAGGATTTATTGAACTTGCAGATCATTTTTAGTAAACTCATTGTGAAATCTCATTGCTTTATGTTATGATGAGCTAATCTTTAAAGTTTTAAAACTGCAAATCTCTTTTTATTGACTGATATAGCAGCAACAGAGGGACTGGTAACATGTATTCTGCACAAAAAGAAACAGAAGAATGACTACTAAAACAATATATTATAACTGAATCATGAAAATAACTGAAAACATTTTTTTACAGTTTTACAATTTGTCATAAAACAGAAGTTGTCAAAAACACTCTGAATCCTATTTGGCAAGCATTCAAGATCTCAGTCAGAGCTTTATGTAATGGCGATTATGACAGGTAAAATAAATGACAACTTTTCTGAGAGTTTTGAATATTCACTATAGTTTTTGTATCCAATAATCTAAGTTGAATTTTAAAAATTAAGTTGGCTCCTTTACCAATGTAAATGTGTATTTACAAAAGCATAGTTGATTTATTCAGAATTTTTTAAATAACTTTTTTTTTTAATCCACAATGATTTGGGGAGGAGGGATAATATGAGAAATTAAAATTTGGTTTAACTAATTTTCAAGAAAAAATGTGCAAAGTGTTAAAAATATATTGAATATTTGTTTAACATATTCAAAAGTCATCTCAGAATTTTCATTTCCTCAAGATATTCATTTGGTATTATCTTTCTAGAGAGGAATAAGTAAATATACAAGATACATAAGATTATGACTACATATGTTATAAACCCTGATTTACTCCTGAGAATCCTATTTGACATCACTGCTCCCATGGTTGCTGAATTATAAAGGTTCTAGAGATGTAGAACAAGGAAATTCTGGTGTTTTACAAATAGGTGGGTGAGGTGGCCCTGAAGAACTTCCCACAATATACCTGAAGATTTTTAGTATCAAAGTTGTTTTCTTTTTCTTATGAAAGTTGATTGTAAGATTATAATACAAAACCCCCTATTCACCCCAAAAGATATTTTTTAATCTTATTACTCGTATATTAGAAAAATGAAGATTTATTATATTAACAAATATCATAGAAAGAGCTATTGATTGGTATATTGGTATATGTCATTAAATTTACTTTAAAATTTATTATGCTATTTGACTGTCACTTTATTTAATAGTATCATAACTCTATTTAATTGGACTCATTCTAAGAAAGTATTCTTATAATATGGTTCCTAGTTAGCAGCATCAGCAGCAACTGATGAAACTTGCAGAAATTAAAGTCTTGGGCCCAACCCAGGCCTACTGAACTGGGAACACTGGGCATGAGGTCCAACAATTCACGTTTTGACAAGCCCTCCATGTGATTCTGATCCATGCTGAGTTTGAGAAATACTTCTCTAAGATAATGGTTTTGAAGGGTGGAGGAATAACTCTATACCTCTCTTTCAAGAAGCTATGTCAAACTATAAATGCTTTTCCCATATACTTTCTTACTCTGTTTAAAGAATTAAAAATCTGTATGATTTTAGAAACCTATTTTAAGATATAAATTGAAGAATAGTATTAAAATTAGCAAAATCAACTTTAAACTATTTTGTAAAACCTGAAAGCATATTTTATCTAAGAAAATCTATAACTTATTTTTTAACATTCAAGCATATGTTAATTTGATCTTACTAAGTAACTTCACTCTGTGTGTATGTTTTCCCCATGGACAGAACAGTCAAAGTAGAGGTGTATGACTGGGATCGAGATGGAAGGTAAGGCATTGTCTTTTCTTTTGTTTTTGCTCTTAAAACTTATAATGCTTTAAGAAGCAAATATGCTGAAATGACCACATTTTCAAATTTTAATTTTATATTGAATATTTTTGTCTTGTTTTTCTAAGCATTACTGAGGTGTTCACATGAGATTTTAAGAATGATTGTATCAAACTTGTGAAATAAAATAGAGGTCGTCCTTCTTTCTAGTAATATAGTAAAGATTTTCAACTTGGACTTGATGAGTTCTCATTATGCACAATTTATAGATTCTAGTTTTATATCTAGAGTAGTGATTCTCAAATTTCTGTATCTCATAATCTCTCTGAAGATTCCTATAACCTTTCTACACCTATCATCCATGGGAACACACCTGAGCTCCCCCTCCAAAAAGAAAAAAAAGACACACACCTCACAAACAAACAGCAAAACAAAACTCTGGAATTATGTCTGGTGATTGCCAATAAAAATAGTTAAGCAGAGCTCCAAAATCATGGTCTCCCTCTGCATACCCCAGCATGTTAATGAGTAAAAGAGTGGAACACACTACTTTTTCCTCTTTCTTTTTTAAGTATTTTCCCACTGTTTCTACTGTTTTAAGTAGGACTGATATTGAGTTGTTTTTAAATGATGTTAAACCGAGGGACCCAGACATGCTCAAATCTCACCTTGCTCTAGATAACTGTTTCTTTAGGTGGTTCCTGAAGGGACTGAATATACAGATACCAAAGGAGAATGACAAGTGGGAAATCAAAGCCACTTAATTTTACTTGGCTAGTGTTCTCCATTCCAGCCTAGAGCTCACTGGTAAACGGAGCTGAAGCATTAGGTTAAAGCTCAAGATCTAAGCAAGGCCATTCTCTCTGTGATTTATATAAGCCAGCAGCCAAGCCCCAAAAGATGAAAATGTCTAGATACCCAAGCACTACTGTTAATACAGGAACAAATTTGATTGAAAAAGTGGCCTGTCCTGAGGAAGCACCTCCCCTTATTTCTTCTGCTTACATGGGTAGAAAAATTCATCAAGGCAAGGCCCTCCACCAGCAGAAAGATTGTGACTCGCCAAAGGCTCAGATGATGATTAGCATTTTTAGTGATTAAGTATTTTCTAATTAAGGTATGCACATTGTTTCTTTTAGACATAATGCTATTGCAAACTTAATAGACAACAGTACAGTGTGAACATAACATTTTAAAATGAAATAGAGTTGGCATACAATATTGTTAGTTTCAGGTGTACTACAAAGTATTTTAACATTTGCATAGATTATAAAATTATCACCAGGATAAGTCTTATAACCATCTATCATCATAGAAAGTTATTACATTATTGAACATATTGCTTATGTTGTGTAGTATGCCATGACTTAATTATTATATAATTGCAGGTTTGTACCTCTTAACCGCCTACACCTATTTCACATACCCACTACCTGCCTACGTTCTGGCACCCACCCAGTAGTTCTCTGTATCTATGAGTCTGTTTTCATTTTATTTGTTAGTTTTGTTTGTTTGTTTGTTTGTTTTACATTATACATATAAGTGAAATCATGAGGTATTTGTCTTTTTCTGTCTGACTTACTTCACTTATTATAATACCCTCTAGATTCATCCATGTCGCAAATGGTAAGATTTCAATTTTTTTAAATTTCTAAGTAATATTCCATTGTGTGTGTGTGTGTATCATCTTCCTCATCTATCAAATGAAACTTGGGTTCCTTCCGTATATTGGCTATTGTAAATAATGCTGCAATGAACATTGGTGTGCATATATCTTTTCAAATTAGTATTTTTGTTTTCTTTGGGAAAATACCCAGAAGTGAAATTGCTGGATCATATGGCGGTTCTTTAATTTTCTGAGAATTTGTCTTACTGTGTTCCATAGTAGCTTCACCAATTTACAATCCCACCAACGATACATGAGGATTCCCTTTGCTCCATATTCTCACCAACACTTGTTATTTGTTGTCTTTTTTGATAGTCATTCTGAACATGTGTAAAGTAATATCTCATTGAGGTTTTGATTTGAAATTTGCCTGATGATTAGTGATGTTGAGCATCTTTTCATGTGCCTGGTGTATGTGCCATCTGTATGTCTTCTTTGGAAAAGTGTCTATTTAGGTCCTCTCCCATTTCTTATTCTGTTTGTTTGTTTTTATTGTTGTTGAGTTGTATCAGTTCCTTCCACATTTTTGATATTAACCCCTTTTCAGATATATTGTTTGCTAATATCTTCTTTCATTCAGTAAGCTGTGTTTTTATTTCTTGATAGTTTCTTCTGATGTACAAAAGCTTTTTGGTTTGATATAGTCCTGTTTGTTCACTTTTTCTTTTGTTTCCTTTGCCTGTGGAGACAGATCCAAAAAAATATTGCTAAGATGAATGTAAGAGAGTATACTGCCTACTTTTTCTTTTAGGCATTTTATAGTTTCAGTTCTTACACTTAAGTCTTAATCCATTTTGAGTTTATTTTTGTGTATGGTGTGAATAAGTAGCCCCGGTTAATTCCTGTGAATATAGCTGTCCAATTTTCCCAACATTATTTATTGAACAACCTGTCTTTTGTCCATTTTATATTCTTCTCTCCTTTGTTGTAGATTAATTGACCATGTAAATGTGGATTTATTTCTGGGTTCTCCATTCTGTTCCACTGATGTATGGTTCTGTTTCTGTTCTAGTACCATAATATTTTGATTACAGTAGCTTTGTAGTACACTTTAAAATCAGGTAGAGTGATACCTGAAGCTTTCTTCTCCTCTCTCAAGATTGTTTTGTCTATCAGAGATTTCCATACAAATTTGGGAGTTATTGATCCTAGTTCTGTGAAAAATGCCATTGGTATTTTGATAGGGATGATTTTGAATCTGTAGATTGCCTTGGATTGTATGGTCACTTTAACAATATAAATCCTTCCAGTCTGTGAACATAGAATGTCATTCCATTTTTTTTGCTTCATCTTCAATTTCTTTCAACAATGTATTATAGTATTCTGAGTATAAATCTTCTACCTCCTTGGTTAAATTTATTCCTATGTATTTTATTTTTTTGATGCAGTTGTAACTTGGATTGTTTTCTTAATTTCTCTTTCTGATAGTTTGTTTTTAGTGTATAGGAATGCAACATATTTCTGTATATTAATTTTGTATCCTGATACTTACTGAATGTATTTGTTAGTTCTAATAGTTTTCTGATAGCATTTTTGATTTTCATATATATATATATATATATATATATATATATATATATATATAGTATCATGTCATCTGTAAAGCGTGACACTTTACTTCTTCCTTTCCAGTTTGGATTCCTTTTAATTTTTTTTCTCATCTGATTTCTGTGGTTGGGACCTTTAATACTTTGTTGAATGCAAGTGTCAGGAGTGGGCATCTTCTTCTTGTTCCTGCTCTTAGAGGAAATGCTTTGAGGCTTTCTGCATTGAATATGATGTTGACTGTGGGCTTGTCATGTATAGCCTTTATTATGTTGATGTATGTTTCCTATATATCCACTTTGTTAAGAGTTTTTATCATAAATGGATGTTGAATTTGACAGTAGATTTTTCTGCATCTATTGAGATGATCACATGCTTTTTAACCTTTGTTTTGTTAATGTGGTGTACTACATTTATTGATTTGCAGATATTGAACCATTCTTGCATCCTTGGGTTAAATACTACGTGATCATGGTCTATGATCCTTTAAATGTATTTTGAATTCTGTCTGCTAATATTTTGTTGAGGATTTTTGCATGTCTGCTCATCAGTGATAGTTGCCTGTAATTTTCTTTTTTGTGGCATCTTGTCTGGTTTTGGTATCATAGTGATTCTGGCATACCTTCCTCTTCAACTTTTTGGAATAGGTTTGAGAAGGATAGGTGTTAAATGATTGTGTTAAATGTTAAATGATTAAATGATGGTTAAATGCCTAAGTGATTTAAATGATGGTAGAATTGACCTGTGAATCCATCTGGTCCTGAACTTTTGTTTGTTGATTACTAATTCGATGTAATTACTGGAATTGGTCTTTTTTAAAATGTCCTCTTGATTTTGTCTTGGGAGAGTGTACATTTCTAGGAATTTATCTATTTCTTCTTAGTTGTCTATTTTATGTTAGGTTGTTCGTTTTGTTGGTGTATAATTTTTAGTATTCTCTTATGATCTTTTGTATTTCTGTGGTATCAGTTGTAACTTGTCCCTTTCGTTTCTGATTTTATTTATTTGGGCTCTTTTTTTATTGATGAGCATGGCTAAATGTTTATCAATATGTTTATTATTTCAGAGAACTAGCTTCTGATTCATTGGTCTTTTCTGTTTTTACTCTCTGTTTCATATATTTCTGCTCTGATACTTATTATTTCTCTCCTTCTACTATCTTTGGGTTTTATTTGTTCTTCATTTTTTAGTTCCTTTATGTGTAAGGTTTGATTCTTTATTTGAGAGTTTCTTGTTTCCTGAGGTAGGCTTGTATCACTGTAAACTTCCCTCTTAGAACTGCTTTTGCTGCATCCCGTAACTTTTGGATCACTGTGTTTCCATTTTTATTTGTCTTCAGGTCTTTTTTAATGTCCTCTTTGTTTTTTTCAGTGACCCATTGATTGTTTAGTAGCATATTGTTTAGCCTTAACATTTTGTGGTTTTGCAGTGTTTTCTGTGTTTATTTCTAGTCTCATACTGTTGTGGTCACAGAAGATGCTTGATATGATTGCAATCTTCTTAAATTTATAGAGACTTGTTTTGTGGCCAGCATGTGATCTATTTGGAGAATGAACATAACTTTTATATGCACTGCAAAACCAAAAAATTCATGTGACTCAATTTATTGTGATATTTACTTTACTGTGGTGGTCTGGCACCAAACTAACAATACCTCCAAGGTATTCCTGTACCTTGCTTTCAATATGATGTAAAAAATGGATGACTCATTCTTAGGTAAAAGTCTTATGTGACAAGAAGTTTGGTAATTTGGTAGAGATGAATGAGTGTATATTTTGAAAGAATCCTA